CCCCCCCCCCCCTCCCCCCTCTAAAATCAATTCTCTCCTGGAGAACGTCTTCGTGAGCCTCTCATGATTTCAGGATAGTTGAAACCCTCTTGAACATTTTAGAAAGAGTGAATATGAAATTCTAATCACGAAAGGTGTTCCCCGAGGGGATACATACCTAGAGTTTGTTTTGTGAAGCACGTCAATTCTCTCCTGGGGAGCGTCTTCGTGAGCCTCTTATGGTTTCAGGATAGTTCAAATCCTATGATGTTCCGATTCAATGCTCACCGATGATCTGAGCCATGGGGCAAGTTTGTTTTCCTAAGAACCTTTTTGAACATTTCGAGAGCATATGTTTGAACATTTAGAGTGCATATGAACATATATTTACGAAAGGTCGCCTCCGAGGGGATAAATCACCATGTCGAACATTGCATTTTTGTTCCTGCCTCTCGCGTTCTCTTCTCTTCCCGCTGTCCTACCTTTCGTGTCTCCCTCCTCTCAAGTTTTGGTGAAACCATCAGATTTCAATTGTTAGTGGCCATTTCTTAGGACTTTGCCCACGCCTTCTTCGATTCTTCGTTTCAGGTGGAAGAGCAGCTTCGCGAGGAGGATCCAGGTGATCCGGTGCGGTGGTGATCCGTCGTCCAACTAAAGCAAAGGGAGCGTCGAAAGAAGATAACAAAAACGAAGGCAAGGGATTTCAGAACCTCAAGGGTTTTTCAGGGCCTTATCATACCCAGTTTGCGTTGGGCTGTGCCTTGGGACCCCCCCGCAAGATGAAATAGAGAACATATTGAACCCCCGGCAAGATGAACAAGAGAGTATTTTTGCTTGTTGGTATGGCAAGCAGGTTCCACGTTACCACTCGGCAAGCCCGTAGCTGAACATCTAATATTTTTCCTCAAGCAGTTTAGTGTTTCCGCATTTTGGTTCGTGCGTACCTTGATTTTTTTTTCGCTCGCTCATTTCGTTCGTAGTTTGCCGGTTAGTGTCTCACTGTGGTCAGGCATTAGTCCGGGCCTGCGATCGTGCAGCTTGAGGAGGAAGCAGTTTAGTGTTGGGGTTCTCTTTTAGGAAAGAAAGGTGTTTCCACGGCGTGGGCCACGCCGTGGGCCCTTTTCTATTTCCCTTGTTCCGGGGCTTGTTGAGGCCTCGTTTGTGCAGTCTGTGTGTCCTGCTGGTCCGCGTTGTTGGCCCTCCTACCACCGCCTTTCATCGGGCCTTGTCCTTTGCTTGGCCGCGCAGCT